CCTTAACGAACGCGCTCTCTCATTACTCTGGCTGTCTGCCTCCGACAAAATTTGGTAGTGACACGGTCCCTGCGTTTGGCGGCAGATGGTGCATAAGTGAGGTGTAGGGCTCCTTTGCACCACTACGATATGATTACTGTACTATTAGTGTAGGAGTCCGAAGTGTAAAGATGCAAAATACCGATAAGTTTTGAAAGCTGGGAACCTCCAAATTGTGCATAAATGAGGTGGACGCCCTTTTGCACCACTATTATATGGTTACTGTACTGTAACTGTAAGAGTTCGAGTTGTAAAAACGCAAAAAGACCAATGTGTTTTGGAAGCTGGGGAACACTTAGGTGTGCAATAAGGTGTAGGCACTTTTGCACCACTGCGATATGGTTAGTGTACTGTTATTGTAGGAGGTATGAAGACGCAAAAAGACCGAGTGAGTTTCGAAAGCTGGGGAACTCCTAGAATCATTGTAAAAAAAACTGCTAAGTTGAAAAATGCAGTTTGGAAGAAAGTCATACCATTGCTCTATGTCCAAAAACGAAGTTATCGCAGGCTACAGTATGATACGGTAGGGACCATAGTGGTGCAAAAGTGCCGCTTATACAAAACTAGCCTCAAAACTAACCTGTAACATGCAGATCACTGCATGATAGATGTAAGATTCGCTGCTGTCTTCTTCAGAAGCCTTATCTCTTTGTGATTTTGCTAGTTTTGCCTTGTTCTGATTATCGTCACATATCCATGCAAATGATACAGCATTCAACACTATTGATGGAACAATGGAAAGCAACAATATGAATAGGCAAGCAACCACCTGAAGACATATAAGATATTTTTCAATTTTGCTATAAATCAGGTACCCTTTGCAACGAGATTAGCAACTGGAATGCGAGGCCTAATTAAGTCTACGAAATCATCAGAAAGCGCGCTCTTGAGAGAGTTGCAGACTACATAGCGGCCGCGAGCGGTCGCCTTCCACCCACCAATACCTTTGAAACAAAGTGTAGGTGACTTGAAAAACTGACCCGATCTCCATGATAGTGAAATACTGCAGTGATAATATCGCTAACTATATCAAAGCAGTACGTAACCATGGCAAAGCAAAAGCAGAAGAGATCAAAACGTCGTACGAAGATCTGCCGTGGTATTCGATCCAACTGCTCTTCGGCCACGCCAGCATCTTCTAAAAATATTTTCTTCTGGTTTTTACCTCAAATCCCCAAGAAGAAGTTCAAAAGTGAAAAAATAGCCTTTTTCAAAGTTTGTCTTCTTTTATTTTGAGGTCAGTTATAGGGTAGGGACATAAGTCTTGCACCAGTTTTTCAAAGCCCCGTGATAATTCAGATTCATCGAATTTGAGTGAATTTTTTTGGGCTTTTTGGTGCAAGATTTAAGTTTCAATCTAAGACCCGTGCATGTTAGCCATCTATCAACTTTTGTGCCAAAATCATGCAAAATCTTTGTAACCTTAGTCTTGTAAAGTCAATCTTTCATTCTAGACTGAGAGATGGTGAAACGCTTCAGTGGTCTGCAAAAAGCAGGAAAAAACGATAGCAACAAACTGGATCTTCCAGTGTGTTGAACGCGATGCACTAAGAAAAATTGAAAAAAACCCATATTAATGAATTCTTATAGAAGAATCCGTAGTGTCTAAACAGATTTTACACTGCCCTTGTGAACTCAAAACAAATAGAACAATTTTGAATCAAACTCGATTTAGCAAGATATTACATACAGAATCCTTGGAAGATCGTGTTCTCATCAAACCGCCGTTAGTTTACTGATTTGGGATGCATTTATGAGAAATCTCAGATATAGCATTTTAGGGAGTTTAGTGGATCCCTTCGGTAAATAGACGGCGGAAAGTGAATTCTCAAGGGCATTCGTTCACCGCAAAATTTATGCTATACGTGCAAATTTATTAGCGCGTACTTGTTGGTAAGCGCGTGAATACAAAATGAACAGTACAAATTTAACTTCTGTCTATAATGTATTTTTGGCCAATTCTTTGTCTAAATGGGGATAAAAAGAGTCTGCTTCATTAATGATCAGAAAAAAATCAGAAAAATATGAAAGGGGTTTTGCTGAGACAAAAAAGAGTTTCACGTGGACTGCAAATATACTTAGCTTGAATCGAAAGTTTAATCTTAAACAGCACTGATAAGAGATGAGAAATTCTGCGAAAGCAGCAATTTTCCTTCCTTGCCAAGAATTTTCGTTTACACATTCTGATGCCTGTTCTTCTCCAATCAGAATTGCGCTCTAGAATCAAATCCTGCGCGACCTTTGACGATGTGACCATAATCAAACGGGTTCGGCTGTAACTTTCGGTACATTTCGAGAAATTCACGATGATTGCTAGCTAACGTACTCGGGTCACAGAACGAATTAGCGATTTTCGATCAACTGACCTTGATCGGAAGCGTAGCCATTCTCCGTCAAGTATATGAGTTTAGCGGGATGTTTCTCGTACATTCCTACGTCATATCTAGAACAAATACCAAGGAAAAGTAGAAAAAATGTAGCAGATTGAGCCGGAAAGTGAAGAAAAAATTGAGGAAAAATCATCGAGAGTAGATAAGGAACAAAAAATGATGAAGACGGTGCTGAGATGCGCGAGGCACAGTAATCGGTATTGATTGACCCGCATTATCCTAGTACAGCAATGGACTGAGCAGGGTTA